ACAGTGCCATGTATTCAGTTGCTTATATACAAACTTTAAATTCATTGTCACAATTTCTGTTCCTGGCAAATGATAGAAAATATTTTCCTCTTAATTGATTTCTTAAAAAGAAAAATAGAACCAACAAATAGCATGAGATAAATTGCATATTAACTCACAAATATTTCTGCAATAATTGTTTTCGCCCTTAACGAAAGTGAAAGAATGAATTTGGTTCCTATAGAAGCGTCATTAGGGATATTTCCGATCATATTTATCACTTGCAGGATGCAACAAATTATCACTGACTGGCAATGGAACGGTTATCTTTGCTGTTTTAAACGGATTTACGGATTAAAAGCAATAAAGTTCTGCAATTACCTTAAGCGTGTAACTTAATCTTAAATTTCCTTTCAAAAATAGCAAACACTGGATTCAAACGGTTTTACTAATGAAGGAACATGGCAATTGAAAGATATAAAGAAACAATTAAATTTGACAGGCAAAAGTATTTTCAGAAACGAGGAATAACAACTTGTTGCGACATAACATTAAAAAAAACTTTATAACACGGTGTAAATGTATATAATTTAGTATAAAAAAATCCCTTTTCACGAGATCTAAAGCTGTCCATGGCGTTGGAATATGAATGCAGGATATTAAAATATGTGTAAATGTAATGTTCTTAGAAGATGAATGGCTGCAATCGTGAACAAAACACCGTGGAGCGAAGTTGCTCTTCTAGTAAAATGTTTGGCGAGTCAAGTTTGATAAAACTTCGCGCTTAAACATTATTTCCGGCTTAATAATGTTCGGCATTAAACGCATTTTGTTGCAAAGACCAGAAATAAAACCGATCACTTAGAAAGAATCAATATGGTATTTAAACGAGGTTTCGGGTTACGCCTATCTACACAAAACGAGGTAGAAAGGGATGTACGGCTGTTTGCACAATTCGCAGGGGACTTTTTTTTATTGTTTTAGCTATTGACTGTTCTGTATCAGATTGGTCTCTTTCTCATTATTTTTTCTCTCTTTCTCCCTCTCTCTTACTCTTAATTACTTTCCCCTTTACTCTCTCAATTTCTTAATCCGTTTCTCCTAATCATCCTCTCTCTTAATCTGTATTACTTGGTCTTTCTTTTTCTCTCCTTTTCTCCTACTTTTCTCGTTATCGTTTTCTTTCTTTTCTCTCTGCCACGTCCTGACTTTTCCTTCTCTCTCTCTCTCTCTTTTTTTCTCTTTTCTCCTCTCTCTCTCTCTCTCTCTCTCTCTATATATATATATATATATATATATATATATATATGTTTCTTTGCTTTCTCTCGTGCCATCTCCCCTTTTCTCTATCATTCTCACTGTCTTCTATCGTTCGCCTTTTCTCTCTTTCTCAATTCTTTTTATTTTTCTCTCTCATTTTTTCTCTTACTCTCTCTCTCTATTTCTCCTGTATCTCGATTTTTACGCTCTTAATTCCTCTTTTTTACTGTCGTCCTTTCTTTTTCTCTCGTGCTCTTGTTACACACTCTCTCCCTCTAACTCGCGTCGTCACACTCTTCCTCTCCAACTTGTTCTCTATCACTTTCACTTTTTATCTATCTATCTATCTATCTATCTATCTATCTATCTATCTATCTATCTATCTATCTATCTACCTACCCTAGTCTTTTCATATCTATCTATCTATTTATCTATGTATCATACTGAATATCTATCTATCTCAGTTCTCATCTATGTATCGATCTATTTCTGTCAATATCTATCTATCAATCTATCTACCCTAGTCTGTTCATATCTATCTATCTATCTATCTATCTATCTATCTATCTTCTATCTATCTACCTAGTCTTTCATATCTATTCTCTATTTATCTATATATCAACACTGAATATCTATCTATCTCAGTTCTCATCTATGTATCGATCTATTTCTGTCAATATCTATCTATCAATCTATCTACCATAGTCTGTTCATATCTATCTATCTATCTATCTATCTATCTATCTATCTATCTATCACAATGAATATCTATCTATCTCAGTTCACATCTATCTATCGAACTATCACCGTCAATTTCTATCTATCTATCTATCTATCTATCTATCTATCTATCACAGTGAATATCTATCTACCTATCTATCTATCTATCTATCTATATATATATATATATATATATATATATATACATATACCCTAGACTGTTCATATCTATCTATCTATCTATCTATCTATCTATCTATCTATCTATCTATCTATCACAGTGAATATCTATCTCATTTCACATCTATTTAACGAGCTATTACTCTCAATATCAATTTATCTATCTATCTATCTATCTATCTATCTATCTATCTATCTATCTATCTATCTATCTATCTACCCTTCTTTTCATCTATATCTATTTATCTATGTATCTATGAATATCTATCTATCTCATCTATCTATCTATTTCTATCTCATCTATCAATCTATCTACCTAGTCTTTCTATCTATCTATCTATCTATCTATCTATCTATCTATCACAATGAATATCTATCTATCTCAGTTCACATCTATCTATCGAACTATCACCGTCATCTATCTATCTATCTATCTATCTATCTATCTATCTATCTATCTTCACAGTGAATATCTATCTATCTATCTATCTATCTATCTATCTATATATATATATATATATATATATATATACTACCCTAGACTGTTCATATCTCTATCTATCTATCTATCTATCTATCTATCTATCTATCTAATATCTATCTATCTATCATATCTATCTATCTATTCATCTATCTATCGAACTATCACCTATCTATCTATCTATTTCTATCTATCTATCTATCTATCTATCTATATCTATCTATCTACCTATCTATCTATCTATCTATATATATATATATATATATATATATATATATATATATATATAGACTGTTCATATCTATCTATCTATCTATCTATCTATCATCTATCACAGTTCATCTATCTCATCTAACGATCTATTACTGTCAATACCTATCTATCTATCTATTATTATATCTATCTATCTATCTATCTATCTATCTATCTATCTATCACAGTGAATATCTATCTCATTTCACATCTATTTAACGAGCTATTACTATATCAATTTATCTATCTCTCAATCTATCTATTTATCTGAATATCTATCTATTTCACATATCGAGCTATTACTATCTATCTATCTATCTATCTATCTATCTATCTATCTATCTATCTATCTATCTATCTACCTAGTCTTTTTCATATCTATCTATCTATTTATCTATGTATCACACTGAATATCTATCTATCTCAGTTCTCATCTATGTATCGATCTATTTCTGTTTCTATCAATCTATCTACCATAGTCTATCTATCTATCTATCTATCTATCTATCTATCTATCTATCATCTATCTATCACAATGAATATCTATCTAGTTCACATCTATCTATCGAACTATCACCGTATCTATCTATCTATCTATCTATCTATCTATCTATCTATCTATCTATCACAGTGAATATCTATCTATCTATCTATCTATCTATCTATCTATCTATCTATATATATATATATATATATATATATACATATCTATCTATCTATCTATCTATCTATCTATCTATCTATCTATCTATCACAATGAATATCTATCTATCTCAGTTCATCTATCTATCTATCACCGTCAATTTCTATCTATCTATCTATCTATCTATCTATCTATCTATCTGAATATCTATCTACCTATCTATCTATCTATCTATCTATATATATATATATATATATATATACATATACCCTAGACTGTTCATATCTATCTATCTATCTATCTATATCTATCTATCTATCTATCACAGTGAATATCTATCTCTCATTTCACATCTATTTAACGATCTATTACTGTCAATACCTCTATCTATCTATCTATTATATCTATCTATTCTATCTATCTCTCTCTCTCTCTCTCTCTCTATCTCTGTCTCCTATTCTATTCGCTTTCCTCCTACTTCTCTTATTGTTCCCTTCTTTTTATATGCATATCTGTCTCTCAGTTTCTCTATGTTTTATGTCCACATCCTATTTTATAAACAATGTCACACATTTTAGAAGCATCCGACCAAAAGTAAACAACATCTATGGCACAGTCGTCGAAGCACAAGACATTAAAAGGCGTGTTTGATCTATGTTTTCCTGAAAGCAGGTAGATTTTCAACTAATCAGTTATACTTCATGATCAGAGGAAACACGCTTTTAGATAGCATACACCACTTTCTCTTTACCGTTCTCCCTCCCCGCTACATACAAGGTTTTATTAGAGCGGCACCCACGAGGATCGAACAAACAAAGAAATCGGTTTGTATTACATTGCAGCTTGGTAAAACTAAAAAAGATTGAGATGACACTATTTCGCCTGCGGCAAGTTATCAGGTGGCGGCTGAGGACAATAGAGAGATGGGTAATTTTCTATATCGTCTGCAGGAAAAGGGTTTAGAATGGTATATATATATATATATATATATATATATATATATATATATATATATATATATATATATATATATATGGTTGGATTGATGTGCTGTTGTCTATATACATGCGACATCAATGTCGATGATATAACGGATGTAGATATAAAGAGTAAAGAGTGTTAACAGAGAAATTAACTGTACATGGTAACATGTTTCGTATCTTACCAAATATAACCACTTGACTTAAAAATTTGATTTAATCTTTTCACTAGCCTCAAATAAGTTTGATATAAAATTGAGCATTATATTCATTTGAAAATATGCAAGTATACAGTGAGCCCCATGCTGGAAAATGGCAGGAACAACACCCTTAACCAATTAAACAAGGCTGTTACTGTTCTTTAGAACTTTACGATTATTGCTGACAATCAAAGCAAAGCTAATAAGACAGACTTTGATGTTAAAGGCAACAAGCTTTTATATATATATATATATATATATATATATATATATATTTACATGAATCCTTCATACAAAAAACAAAT